TATTTTCTGGTATTTGGTTGTCGTAAAACATTTACGAAGAAAAAAAATATTATAATTTAATAAAAATAACTTATCTATCAATTTTCGACAAGTTATTTTACATGTTCCTCTTGATAGACTCAACCTCAATCTTGACGTAGACATTTGCCAAACACCAACAAAGTAAAAATAAAAGAATATTTTAACTTAAAAAAAGGAAAAATATTTTTCAAAAAGAATACTTTACGTCAAAGGAAACAAACTGATCCTTAATAATAGTATATACATATAGATGTAGATATATATCTCAATTGACAGCAGAAATTATGGAAAAATGCACCGAATGGACCTAGAAATCATTAATGGACTAAGTGTAATGTTGAACCTAATTAATAGAAATTTTAATTTTGGGCCTGGTGGGTTAGATAAGGCTTACATTTGTTGATAATATGTGGTCATAGTCTGAAAAACTCAAATTATCAAGGCCCAACCACAGACCTAGCAAAGGTTGGACTGGGCTGAAGGGACCATATTTTACAGATCTAAATTAAAATTAAAACCAGTTAAGCCCTCTATAAAATTGTGAAAGTTATAAAACTGTTTTAGAATTCACATTCTCAAGAATTAAGATTTTTTTTATATTCGATTGTAGTTGGACCTTTAACCACTTTAATATTAAAAAGAAAAAGGTACGTGGTTATTTGTAAAGTTCAATTTATAAGGGGTGGTCTAAGAATTTTCAGTAAATAGTTTATATAAATTGGAATGGAAAATAGAAACATCAAATCCGTTGTAGCCAACATACCAATGAATATTCAATTTTCGTAAGGACGTTCCGAATTTGAGTCCCGGCAGCGAAAATTATAATTTACTAATTATTCTAAAAATAATTCATTTCAGTAATCCAATTCTATTGCCTCTAGAGAAGATCCAAAAAGTAATTTTATCTATAGACATCAAATGTTCTAATGTATAGTCAATTACTCAATGGCAATATATGGGATATACTTGACTGGAATATAGTTTATATATATATTAGAATGCAAAATTATAACAACAATCCGCTGTCTGTAGCAACATACCAAGGGATATTCAACTTGGCTTACAGAGTGCCGGCAGCTAAAATATACCTAGTTTAGGATTTTGAAAATTGTCTGTTGGGAGTTTAAATGTGTATGTATGTGTGAATGTATTCGTGAAAAATGATGACTTTGAAGTGTTTTGAACAACCCACATGTTGCTCAAACAATGACTCAATGACTTGATGCTAAATCTTAGATTTTAAAGTGATGAGTGATCCATGGATTAGTTTAAAATTCATTAGCTGTCCCAGCACTAAGCTCTGCTCTCTCAAATATTATGAATATTCAATCAGTTTCAAAGAGTTTACTGTATCATTATGATCAAAATAATGTGGTTAGACGTGTAGGTATATAACAAGCTCTATAGAAAGAAATAAAAATCAAATAAATAAACCACAAATATATATTACACAAAACAAAATGGCATCAAAAGTGACGAGAATGCAGCTTCCCTTTAGAAATTGTTCACTATATGCAATGTATAAAAACCACATAGCACAACATATTTTCAACAAAACACATCTATTTCAACTATAGTATGCCTTTACTTTCTCCACCATTATGTTGATTTTAAATCCAACCATATGAGATCATGTATAATAACAAGATAGGGAACACCGAGACCAGAACTTCCATTTGATTTTCATTGAAAAACAGCCTTTCATTCGGCCTCTCAAGAGCAGACAATACATGATCCTATGAGTCGAGAGAACATCTTAAATTCAACATTGCTAAGTTACAACCATCACAAATGATACAAATAAGAAGTATTCAATGAAGAGGAAAAACAATCATCCAATCCAAAACCACACAAAACAACATTACAATCATAATCCATTGCGCTTTTGGGCTTCTTATACTTCTCTCAGATGCTAAACTATCCAAATTGACACCTCCTCCTCTGTTGTCATGGTTAAGTAAAAAATTCTTCAGAGATAAAGTCATTGGGTGCTAGAGAAAGTATGAAGAAGCCAAAAAATATATATATTATATGGGTCAAAAATGAGTGAGAGCTGATACAAAATGAACAGAAGACGCATACAATTTAACAATAATAACCACCTAAACAAACTAAAATAAACCAGCATGATGTAGATTGTTTTGCTTTTGCCTTTACCAAATCAAGGATACGTCTTTAATTCTAGTTTTACAACAGTCCAACTCTAAGAAGACGAAGAAGCAACATGAGAGAAAGGAAACTAACTGAAAGATTATTCGCCATAAACAATATAAATATCCAATCATTTTCAAAGAGTACTGTATCATAATGGTCAAAATAAATAAATAAAATCACAAAGATATGGTACACAAAACATAATGGCATCAAAAGTGACAAGAATCCAGGAAAACAAATACAGCAGCAATGGAGGCTTCAGGAATGTAAAGCAATAAAACAAGTTAAAAAGTAGCTTCCCTTTATAAAATGTTCAATATATGCGATGTATAAAACAACACAATAAACGATTACTAAACCATAGTCTGCCTTTCCTTTCTACCCATTGTTAATTTTCAACTCAACCACAACCTTGAGGTAAACATCCAATAATCCAACCATATGAGATCATGTACAATATCAAGGTAGGCGGTGAGCTCTGCTCACTCAAATATTTTGTAAGGCAATATATAAACATCATGAATCTCCAATCAACTTCAAAAGCTAAGTGCAAGAATATGATCGCGGAGAAATTAGTGAGCTTGGACAAGCAAGCATGTAACAATTTATTTCCCAAAAAAGAAAAAATATATAAAACTATAGAACACAGACCAAAAATGGCAATATACGTGATGGAAGATGCACTGATCTCAACTTCACATATAAAGGAACCTCACTGATTACTTAATTTGAATAACAAGATTTAAGAAAAGACAATTAAGCAGCAAATGGAAGCTTCAAGAATTATGGCTACAAAATCAAGTCATCCACACCTTCTCCTTGGAACTTGTCCATTGTATCTCAAAAAACATCTTTTTCTCACATATTCCGCCTTTCCTCTCTCCCTCATTGTCAAATTTCAATTCCACAACATTGAGGCACAACAAAAGAGGAGGAAGCTGTCCAGTGCACCAGGGAGGGTTATGACCCCATCGGCAATGGGGCCCACTGGTGGGGTGATCTCAACCCTTCCCACTGCACTTGAAAGTTTAGTGCACCGGAGAAGATATTTCTCTGAGGTACAACATCCAACTATATGAGATGGTATAAAACATGAAGGTTAACATTATTGATGTCAGTCCGCAACAAGGACTGAAAGCACCACATTGCATCATTGCTCAATACCTTAAAAAATTTGTTGCAGTTATATATGACCCAAAAAACAAGTCGCTCACTACTCAGAGAGAGAATTCAATGCAAAGGTCAATTTGAATATGTATGTGCAGGCTACTACTGTTAACAAGAACAAATATCAACAATTAATAAAGTTAAAAAGTATATGCGTCAAATTTTTATCATCCAGACTCTGTCCTCACTTAATTAAATCGTTCTCTGTTATCAGATACTAAATTCCAATTTCAAACCTTAAGTGGATAAATCAAAAAGAGGTAGGGGCAAGAGAACATCTGAAATTCATCTTAGCTAAGTTAAAACCATAAAAATTTATCCAAATAAGAAGTATGTAATGAAGAGGAAAAACAATTATCCACAACCACACAAACAATATCCATAATCCATATAGTTATCGACTACCCCTTTGGGCTTCTTATACTTCTTTCAGATGGTAAACCGTCCAAATTGATATCGCCTCCCCTGTTGTCACAGTTTAACTCACAAATTCGTCAGAAACAGAAAAGGATTTATGTTAAATTGAATAGATGACCCATACAACATGATGTAGTTTGTTTTGGTTTTGCCTTCACCTAATGAATGATATGTCTTTAATACTAGTTTTGCTAAGAATATTTCCCCAAGCATATGTCCAAAGAAATTACAGTGCAGCCCAATAACAAAAACAAGAAGTAACACAAAATTGAGAAAGAAAATTAACTGTAAGAGTATTCTCCAATCTGAAATTGGAACAAGCCCAAAGTGCTCTACACAGGTCAAAAATGAGTACATGGTGATTTTAAGCGTCTAAAAAGGATCAGTTTTACTTCAAACTTGTTGATATCTGGATTTCAGCAAATCTTGCATTTCAACTTATCTAGGTGATTCAATGTCTAACTATGACACTACCAACTTGTGCATTCAACTTCAATATCAAACAATGAACCAATTCGAAATTCATTAAACGTCCACACAACCCCCGAGTAATTAGGGCGGGTGTGATAGAAGCGTAAGCAATAACCTCTGCTCTCTCAAATTTATGCTAAAGCCTAGTACAAACAACATGAATGGCCAATCAATTTCAAAGAGTCTACTGCATTATAATGACCAAAATAATGTGCTTGGACATGTTGGTATGTCACAATTTATTATCAAAAAGGAAAAGAAAACACATCATAATGATATAGCTACAAAATAAAATGGCATTAAAAATGACATGATTCCAGGAAAAAAAATGTATATACAGCAGCAAATGGAGGCTTCGGAAGTGTAAAGCTACAACACAAGTTAAATGCACCTTCCCATAAAAAAATGGTTCACTATGCGCAATGTATAAACTTACACAATAAAGTATGGCTAAACAACAAAAGATTCGACAAAATACATACTCTCTTTCATAGTGAGTCTTTTCCTTTCTCCCCCATTGTTGATTTTCAACTCAACCACAACCTTGAGGCACAACATCCAAGTTATCTAACCATATGAGATTACTTACAATATCAAGATAGGCAGTAAGCTCTGCTCACTCAAATATTTCTAAGGCAGTATATAAACATCTTCACACCAGCAATTATTTTATATTCAAAATCATGGTCATGGATTTTTCAATAGACAGCTTGGAGTCACCAAGTTTACCAAACCAACTCAACAAATCTACTTCCGTTAAAAGAATTCCATTCATGATAAACATTTAAAATAGCAAACAGTAATTTAAAAGCAATATACGAATCATATACGACCATGTGAGGCAGCATCCTAATACATGATAATTAAGTTAATGAAAAATATCAAAAGCTGACAATATGAGCATCACTCTGATAAGTTAGTATATATTGCAACATTGCTCAGGCACACACAACTAACCATAACTAAGCTATAGTCCTAACAACTTACCAATTGCCAACATATCATCATTCAAAAGATGAGAAATAATGCAATGTTCAAAAGCCTTGAGTCAATACTATGCATACTAATAAGAAAACACATTACTCACTCAGAAACATGGACGAAAAAAATAAATGCTCGAATGACTGTCTTTCGACTGCATCTTCATCTGGTCCATTTGAAACAGGTTCTTCCTCAGAATCAACCATATCACAAGAATCTACTTTAGCACTGAAGACAGCACCATCAAGCAAAGCCAAGCTCTCTGCATACGTACCCGCACAAATCGAGTCTCTACCACCAAAAATTCCAAGACTCTTGGATCCTCTGTTATCAGGGTCATACAAAATCACCTCACCATTCCTCCTAGCAAGCAATATCTCCCCATTCCTCCGAAACCCAAGTGCTGCCCCTAAGACTCCTCCTTGCAAATCAACATTGAATTGTTTGCTCCATGACTCCACCACACCATACTGTTTCATCACCCACACCAAACAATGCTCAATCTTTGCCCGATTATCATACTGGAACACCGAAATTGTGTCCCCATACACAGAAATGGCCAAGTTCAGTGGATTTTCATCAGCCAATTTCTTGGGCAGGTTCAGCTCACAGAACCCCTCACCACCCACATCAAACCCAAGAATCGTGCCGCGATGATTCTGGTCCGAACCCTCCCATTTAGCATACACAAGCCAGTGGATAGTCCCATTGACAAAAGCCGAACACCAGAAATACTCAGCCATATTATACGAAGGCACATTGGCTGCAATTGTTTTCCAATAACCAGTTTTCAGCGAGAAGACCTCCACCTCAGGAGGAACAACATAACCCTCATCCCCTCCGAACAACAGCGATTCGACACCGGCACTGGTGTCCCACGAACCCATTCTATGCTGAAGGTAAGCGATTCTCACAACCTTGTAATCGTTGTTCCGAGAATCAAACCCGAACCCAAGAGCGAACATGTAGGGTCCATAGGTGTCGAAACAAACGCGAGGCTTGGGAAGGTTCACACACTTGCGAATGGCAGGGTTCCAGATGATGAGAGTGTAGGTGTAACAAAAATGGTCGTCGGAGAGGCAAATCAACCCATTGCAAATACCCACCATTCGGAAGAAGCTATTGGTTCGAGTCTTGAATGGGCATTTGAGTTCCAAGGACTCGTGGAGTGTTTCGTCGTCGAATTGGAGCGAATAGCGCTCCTTTTTGGGGTCCAGAGAGTAGTATTTGATGAGGAGGTGAGAGTTGTTGTTGTGGGATTGATTGAGGTGGATAGCGATGAAATAAGGGCTGGTGATGAGAGAGAGCCAAGACTTAGAAACGCACCTGAATCTGAGCAGAGACTCGGCCGGAAGTCTTGAGAGTATTTCGGTCAACACTTCTTTGGGGAAATAGTCGGACATTGTTGAAACGAGAGTGATTTTTTCAGCTTGGGTTTTTTAGGGAGAGACAGAGAGACAAGAGAGGAAGAGGGAGAGATGAAGGGATCGTCTGGTTTATAACCAGCATTAGCAGCGCCTCTGCAGAGAAAAAGCGAGCCAGCTGGAGTGAGAGTACAACTGAGCGTCTGTGGGGATGTGGGAGATGAGTGGTGGCCAAGAAAGGGAAACGACGACGTTGCTTTGTAAGGTGTACTCTTTTGATCTTATCTACAAAATCAATTGACAAATAATTTATTTATTTCTTAAGTTTTTTATTTGAAAATTTTATCAAACTCTAATGTACAAAATCAATTGACAAATAATTTGAAGTTGAAATTCCAAGCTACCAAATCAATTTATTACTGAGTATTGTTTTTTCTTCCCAGCAAACATAACCAGAAAGGAGAGAAAAAAACTCTCCTGTTCGTGATCACTGTGCATGCACTGTAGTTGCAGTAAAAAGGGCCAAACAGTGTATTGGATTAAAAAGGGTATATATATATATATACACACACACATATACGAATTATATATATACACATTTACCAAATTATACCTGTTCAATTTCTGATTTAATCAAGAGAATTGTCCTCTCGCTCTGTAGAGGGTCCTTGGTTCTCAGGGAGTAAAGGGTTTCTCCTCTGGTTCGTCCCATCTCCTTCCTCTTTTCCTTCTTATCTTCCCCCCTTTCACCATGGAGGACATCACTTCCTACCTTCAAAAATTTTCCCTAACCCCTGAAGAGGATATTATCATCGAAGCCACTGAGGCCGATTCAGCTTCGGGAATCTCCGATTGCAAACCCAGCCTATTTGGAAAGCTTGTTTCCGATCAAACCAAGAATCTGAAAGGTATTCATAACAACTTCGCTGAAATCTGGAACTGTAAGTTTAAACTCTTTTGTCTCGCCCCCAACATTTTTCAATTTCTTTTCTCCTCTGAGCAAGATTTGCAGAAAATTCTTTATGGGCGTCCATGGTTTTTTTATAAACACCTTCTCATCTTGATTGAGTGGCACCCTTCTTTCCGACCTATTGACTCGGCCTTTGTCTCTTCACCCTTTTGGGTCCATCTGAGGAATATCCCTTTTGAAAGTTTAACCCCCAGAAACCGGTGAATTGATTGCAAAGAGCTTCTCTCGCTCCTACCGAGTTGAAGTTAGAAACAAAGGAGCTGAAGGTGGAAAGTTTCTTCGAATCAAAGTCGACATCAATGTTAACTCTCCTCTGAAGAGAGGTCTCTGGTTCAAATTTTTTGGGGAGGTTCTTTGGATTTCATTTAGTTAATGTTAACTCTCCTCTGAAGAGAGGTCTCTGGTTCAAATTTTTTGGGGAGGTTCTTTGGATTTCATTTAGTTACGAAAGATTACCATCATTCTGCTACTCATGCGGGCGTCTGGGTCATTCGCTCCTACACTGTAAATCATCTGAACCCCTTTCTACCTCACTCAACCCTCCTTCCCATCCTTTTGGTCCATGGATGCGAATCATCCCCTCCTCAAGTAAACTTCTCCATGGCCTCAATCTTCCCTCATCTCCATTGAACCCCCCTTTTCCTCAGCCTTCGAAGCCCGGAGACGATGACCCTATACTACAGCTGACTCCTGCTCACTCTCCACCGGACACAGAGACAACCGCCGTCTCTAGCACGTCTCTGCTCCCACTCCGCCCCACCCACAGTGGTGCGACGGTTTGTACAGAACTCACTGAGGGAATCTCCTCGTGGCAGCGTCCTTGGTCCCCCACCATCAGGTTCTTCTTTCCTTGGGCTTTACTATTTTAATCCGAATTTTTTGCACATCCAGCCCAACCCATTTCTCCCCCCTGATCCAATTACACACTGTATCCCTCCTCCTCTTCCCCCTCCTCTTAGCCCACACCACCAATCCGAACTCACCCCAAACTTCCACCACTCTCAGGCTATTGAGCCCATTTCCAATTTATCCACTTTGCGCCCCCAAAACACCAACACCACACCCGCGCGCCCCGCCCCCCCCCCCCGGCCGCCGAATTCACTACAACCCATCTTTCCTCCTCAAGCCACCCTTAACTCTCTCCCAATTAACCAATTCTCCTTCGCTGCAACAAAAACCAAAGGACTCTCCGTCCAGCGCTGTTGGAAGAGACGAGCAAGAGCTTTACCCTCCGCCCATCCCCCCACCACCTCTATGCTGGACATCAAACAGAAAATCCCTCCTGATGACTCTCTCATCTCCTCCTCTAAAGCCCAAAAATTGTCCCCTTCCCCGTCTAATTCTGACCCCCCTTTGATCACGTTTCCCTGCACTGGTTCTATTTCTTCTATAAATGTGGTGGAGAAGGCCAGCCCTAACTGGACCCAACAGTCTTAATGAAGGCCATGGTGTGGAACTGCCAAGGTGTTGGGAACCCCCTGACAGTTTCCCAACTGAGGAGGCTCATCTCCCTCCATTCCCCATTTATCTTCTGCCTTTTAGAAACAAAAAACTCAAATCAAAAACTCCAAAATATCAATAATCAGATCGGCAATTTCAACCTTCATCTTGCTCCCCCTCAAGGCCTCTCGGGTGGACTCGCCCTCTTCTTTCCTCCGGATCAAGGGGTTACCATTGTTGACAGTAATGCCTTTCAAATCACATGCTGTATTGACTCGGGTAATAAGCTTGGCCCATGGTACCTCACCTCTATTTACGCCTCTTGTGATGATGCTACCAGAGCCTCTCAATGGACTTATCTCAAAAATTTACAAAATCGTATAGGTAAGAACTGGATCATCATGGGAGATATTAACTCTCTCACTTGCAATTCAGAAAAAAGAGGTGGAGTTCCTAAGCCCCATTGGATCTTAAAAAGTTTCAAATCCTTCATTGAAGGTTGTAATCTCATTGACATGGGTTTTAAGGGCCCCCTTTCACGTGGTGTAATAACAGAGGTTTTGGTCATACCATCAGAGCTCGTCTGGATCGTGGATTATGCACCCTGGATTGGCTCAATCTTTTCCATCATAGTAGGCTGTACAATGTTCCTGTTTTTGGATCTGATCATAATGCTCTTCTGCTGACCCTCAATGAAAGCATCTCTCCTGTCAAGAGACAATTCCATTTTGATGCTATATGGGTGAAAAACAAGGACTTTACTTCCCTCATTCAATCTATCTGGAACTTCCCATCATCAGGCTCAATCCTCTTTCAATGTCAGGAGAAGCTAAAATCCTACAAGTTCAAACTTAAGTCATGGAACCGAAGTAAGAATTATAATTCCAGAGACACAATCCAACTCCTTCAAGATCAACTCCACCTTGTCAAAAGCCAACCCACTCTGGATCGAGCTGCAATCTTCAAATTGGAAACTGAACTGGGTCATGCTTGGCGCGAAGAAGAGCTTTTCTGGAAACAGAAATCCCGAATTGCTTGGTTGAACCATGGTGACCAAAACACCAGTTACTTCCATAGGAAAACTCTTATTCGAAGGCAAAAAAACTTTATTCCAGGTATAGAGGACTCCCAAGGACAATGGTTGGACTCAAAGGAAGATGTTCGAAGGGTTGCTGAGAATTTCTTTTTCAGTCTTTACCTCTCTCAAGGTCCTCATCAAGACACTGCTTTTTGGAACTTGATTACTCCTAAGGTCACCAGTGATATGAACCAATCCCTCCTCCGTGAAGGAACTGAAGATGAATTAAAAGCAGCTCTATTCAATATGGGTCCTTTCAAGTCTCCTGGTCCAGATGGATTTACCCCACTTTTCTTCCAAGCTAACTGGATCACTGTCAAGCATGACTTACTCTGTGCTTTTAACTCTTTTATTCATACTGGTCATCTTCCTAAAAGTCTAAATCACACCAATTTAGCTCTTGTCCCAAAGATAAAAAAAAAAAAACCCATCTCAAATGTCACATTTCAGACCCATTGCTCTTTGTAATGTCCTTTATAAAATCTTTGCAAAAACTCTTGCAAATCGTCTCAAACCGTTCCTTAATGATCTTATATGTGGCAACCAAAGTGCTTTTGTCCCTGGCAGACTAATCCATGACAATGTCATTCTCGCCCATGAACTACTAAATTGTCTCAAAAATCACAGGAGTGGTAAAACTGGGTTTTTTGCTCTCAAGCTTGATATTGCAAAGGTTTTCGATCGTATTGAGTGGGCTTTCCTTGAATTGATGTTGCAACATATGGGCTTTGATGAACACTGGGTCTCCCTCATTATGGAGTGTGTGTCCACTGTGTCATACTCAATCATCATCAATGGTGAATCTGGTGGTTTAGTCAAACCTTCACGGGGCCTTCGCCAAGGTGACCCCTTGTCTCCTTATTTATTCCTCCTATGTACTGAAGGATTGTCAACTCTCCTTCATCGGGCACACCATCAGAACCTTATTAGTGGTCTCAAACTTAGCAGATATAATTCTCCAATCACTCACCTTTTATTTGCTGATGACTCCCTTCTTTTTCGCGAATCTTCTACGACTGAAGCTCGCAACCTAAGGAATCTCCTCAAAAGGTATGAGCTTTTATCAGGGCAGTTAGTCAACTTCCACAAATTTGGGGTCTTCTTTAGTACTAACACAAGACCATCTCGTAGAAGGAAGATTCTCAGAATTCTTCGTTACAAAATCCCATTTAAAACCTGTGACACCCTTCAACAGAAAATGATGAGATTTTGGTGGTCTGGTTCTGAAGACCTTACTCACTCTCATTGGATCAAATGGGACTCCCTCTGTCAACAGAAAAAAGATGGTGGTCTTGGTTTTAAGGACCTTCGTTCCTTCAACATGGCGCTCTTGTCAAAACTCACTTTGCGTTTATTCAAAGGAGATACCTCCCTTCTCTTTCAGTCCCTTAAAGCAAAATACTTCCATAACTGCTCCTTTTTGGACTCTCATTGCAAAACCACTGCATCTTGGATTTGGCGTGGAATCCATGCGTGTATCCCCATCATTCTCAAAGGCACTAAATGGTCAATTTCTGATGGCTCCCTTATTAAGTATTGGGAAGATCCGTGGCTCCCTGACCCAAATAACCATTTTATTTCTACCCCAGTCCCCCCACATTGCTCCATCTTCATAGTTACTGATCTTACTCTCCCCTATCCCACCCGCTGGAATATTCCCCTAATCAAAAACACTTTCAACATCAGAGATTCCAATCTCATTCTCGGAATTCCTCTTCGAGAAACGGGTGGTGTTAATTCACCTATTTGGGGAGCCTCTCCTTCGGGACGGTTCACTGTTAAAAGTGCCTATCACATTGCCATGCTTTTAAACTTCCCCAAACCAGGCCCTCTTCCATCAATTGGCAGTAGCAATGCTCATATCCACTCTCCAAACTGGGCTGAAATATGGAAACTGAAAACTAGCAGGAAAATCCAATTTTTCATCCGGCAATGCGCTCACAACCGCCTTCCAGTTCTTCATTCTCTCAAAGCCAGACGCATCGCGAGTTGTAGCATATGTCCTGTTTGTGGTATTGAAGAAGAATCTCTCATCCATCTTCTCTTTCGCTGCCACATCTCGCTCACAGCTTGGCGCATCAGTCCTCTCCGTTTAGATTTTGCTTCCATTCCCTGCATCTCGTGGCCTCAAATTTGGAAAATCCTTTCTTCTCTCTGGCACCCTCATCCAGATGGTGACTCTTTTAAGAGTTTCTTCACCTTCCTTTGCTGGCAACTTTGGCTGACCAGGAACAACTGGCACTTCAATCGGAAGCGTGGCAACCCCAAATCAATTGTGGATTGTGCCCTTTTCAGTTTTAATGAATTTTGGGAAGCAAAATCGCAAAACGGTCGTATGACTTTCCCTCACTTCTCTTCTCCCCCTCATCCTTCTCACTGGCTTCCGCCGACTCTTGGTCGCCTCAAGCTCAATGTGATGCCGCTATTCCGAATCATATTAACGGCATGGGAAGTGGTTTCATTCTCCGCAATCATCTTGGTATTACTCTCCGTGTTGCAACCTTTTTTCTTGAAGGCTCTCAGTCTCCTGAAGCTGCCGAAGCTAGATCGATCAAGCATGGTATCATCTTCTTGCACACTGGGGCTTCTCTGACGTTGACATTGAAACAGATTGTGCAAATCTTGTCAACGCCTCTCCTTGAAGTGAACTTGCTACTGTCATCTACGAGGATATTAGATCCCTAATTAGCGCCTCACAAGGGCTCACTCTCTGCTGGGCCCCTAGATCTGCAAACAAACCGGCCCATCTCCTGAGCCAATGGGCTGCTAGGAATTCTTCTTCTATTCTTTCTTGGGCCTCTCTCCCATCTTGGCTCTCTTATGCTTTGTCTTCTGATTCTGTTTAGCTTCTTTTCTTTGTCAGGAAAAAAAAAAAAAAAAAAAAAAAAAAAGAGAAAAATTCTGATTTAAGCGCTAAATTGAAATTTCCAAATTCTTTCTTCCCAATACTTAATAAGAGCTAAATTGAAATTGACCCAAAAAAAAAAAAATACTAGTAATAAATAATAATAAATAAAAAACCTTATATGGAAGGCTTCCATGTCCAAAATCAATTGAGAAATAGTCCAACCTGAGACATCTCAATTATATAAAACAAATGTTCATCTTTTTTCATTTTTTATTTTATTGTATGTAATTTTGTAAAAAAATTTAAATTTTTTCTCTTTTTAAAAATCTCTCTTAACTCTTTCTTTCTTTCTTTCTTTTCTTTTACTGTTTTACTTCATCAAATTTCTTTGATCCTTTAAAAAAACAATTATACTCTCGTTCTTCAATCAGACTTAATTTTGCCTTCAAAGTTGTTTCATTTCTTTTTATCTTCTTCTTTTGTTTTTTTTTATGTTTTGTTCTTAAATTTTTTTTGTTTATTTATCTTTTTGTATTATGTGTTCGTTTTAAAATATTAATTGTTCGATATTTCTTGGGTTTTGGACTTTAACTTGATCAACCCACGGTAGGGGTGGCAAAGTTTGACACTACTCGCCAACACGACACGAGTTAAACGGGTTTGGGTTAACCTTAAATAGGTTCGGGCCGTAAAACAGGTCGACACAATTAACCCGTTTAATTAATCGTGTCGTGTTTAGGTCGAGAGGTTTAATCCGTTTATACCTGTTTAACTATACGTGTCATAAATAAATTTCTATTTAAGTTCCAAAATAATTATCTAAACTTGTATTTTATAATTTATTCTTTGTAAATTAGAGATTATTTAGTAATTTGGTTGGATTGAAACTTATATTTTTCTAGAATTTAATGTTTGATTGAGTATTATTAATAATTTAAATAATAAAATATTTGATTTTCTTAAATAGATCTTTAAACGAGTTACACGTATAATTCGTTTAATAAACAGGTCGGGTTAGTGTTGAGGATTCCTAACACGATTATTAAACGGGTCGTGTTCGGATTGAGCTGTTTAGTAGAATACCCTTAAATCGACACGACACGATTACGACCCCCGAACACGAATTGTCACCCCTAACCCACGGCTTAGAAATCAGGAGTATCACACTTCTCCTCTTAGGACTCATAAATATTTTACCTTGGATATCAAAACTTTAGGTTATAATTTGTTGATTAAATTATTGTTAAATTAGAATTTTTAAAAGTATGAAAATTATTATTAATCGAAATTTATGAACATGTATATTTTTTACAGGTTTGTAGATTTAGATATGTATGTGTGTATATATATATATATGTTGTGTTGCTTATGGGATTTTGATTTTATTTTTCTGAAATTTGTTAATATAAATCTCGCTAATAGTGTGTAGAAATTTATTTTAAATTGTACGGATTAAATTGAAATTTGGGTGTATATATGTATTGTTTATGTTTTAAATCAATCTATAAGCTTGATTTATTTTAATTAGAACTTTTGGATTTTTTTGGGAATTTTTTAGAATTTTTCGGATTTTTTGGACCAATTTTAAGTTTTCTAGATTTTTCGGCGAGAACTCCGACAACCGACGGTTAGATTCTAATTCTGCGACAGCTAGTGAAAAAGGATCCGGTAAGATCAGCTCCATGGTCATAAGGTGCACACTCACTCCATACCGTAGATGAGGATCAACTTTGATCCGACGCGGGCGCAAATACAATAAGGCAGTGAGCTCAGCCAAATAATCCAGTACGGCCGCGGTCACAGTAGCGTATGAGCTCAGCCAATAAGCTTGCGCTAGCACACACAGAGGATTTATTCGGTGCGTGCAAGCGCGTGGGACACGCGTGCTGAACACCTGTTGGCCTGTTTTGTCAATAGAAATTGAAACTGTCATAACTCAGTCATCTTAAATCCAAATGAGGTTGTTCTTGAGTTCAAACTCAAGAATTTTTCGTCATCTTTCCAATGGTGCCAATTTCATTTTCAAATTCTTATCCTACTATAAGATATTTACGTTTTAGTGAAATAGTGTCGGATTATTTAAACCGATATAGAGTATTTATGAGAAATCATTTATGTAGGGCCTACAACCTTGTGTTGTGATAATTGATGGAAAAAATTAATATTAATTAATAAGTTTTAAATAAATCTATTATATTATTAAATTGTGTAATTTAATACATAAGCTTAATTGCTTAATGGAGTTATATTTGTTGGAATTTATGATCTATAAACCAGATTTATGATTGTAATTGTATAATGTATCATGGTTATATATAGTAATGATGAATTGATACATTGGAATGTAAAATATGAAAGTAAATGTTTTATGTATGCATATACAAAACATGTGTTATCTATTGTATAGATGTTATACTTAATTATAATGTTGAAGGTGGTTTATTCGGAGACATGGATGAGTTGTCATGGCATAAACAGATTGCTAATAAATTGTATGAACAAAATACATACGTTAATAGCATGGAAGATTTGTTATTCTATAGTATGAACAAAAACATATTTGTGCAGGCATGAATAAGTTGTCAATGCATAAATAAATTACTATTTGAATTGTATGGACATAAACATACTCTTAGACGCATAGTAGAGTTGCCAATGATAATTTAATTATAATTATGAGAAATATATACCATTACAAAAGTGAGTGATTTATTATGGTTTATAAGCCATTTTAATTAAATTGAGGTTAAGAAGATAAACTTTTAAAAGAAGCTAGTTTGTCTAATGTTAATATATATATATATATATATATATATATATATATATATATATATATATTTACATTGTTATTTATAGTTTGAGACTTGAAGAATTTATTTATTCTTTATTTAACTTTATTAGGATTGGTTTTGGTTAGAGATATTCTATTTATTAGTTTTCAAAGGCTTAGTAGAGGAAGCTTGCTAGTTAGTTTTGATCCACCATTGTTTATATTTTTTAGGTTATTAGAGATTCAAGTCTCAAGATTGAGGAACCGCAACTTGGGAACTTATCTACTCTTTCTTTCTATTTCAAAGTAGGATATTTATCCATTATTAAATGATAGACTTATTTTATTTATAGATGACTGAATTATTGGATTATGGTTTAGGGGTCCTTGATTTAAGAGATTCCCGAGTTATAATTTTGGAGGATTATTAGTAAATGAATTATTATTTAAATGAATTTCCTTCAGCGTATTATTTATTCTTTTTATTTTATTTTATAATCTGTGCTTATTTAAATATTTAATTATTTTGATATCTCCTGATTTTGAGTGTATACTTGATCAACCCGCGTCTTTGAAATCAGGGGTATCACCCATACCTCCTATTTATATTACCAATCAACCTCCTCCAATGCCACCAATGACGACGACGACGACTACTACCTTCTTACCGGAAACTCCTCTGGCCAATTTCTCCAACGACACTGTTGACCCCCAACTACTACTCTCATTGGAAACATCCACATCACCTACTCTTTATTTCTATTTCAAAGTAGGATATTTATCCATTATTAAATGATAGACTTATTTTATTTATAGATGACTGGATTATTGGATTATGGTTTAGGGGTCCTTGATTTAAGAGATTCCCGAGTTATAATTTTGGAGGATTATTAGTAAATGAATTATTATTTAAATGAATTTCCTTCAGCGTATTATTTATTCTTTTTATTTTATTTTATAATCTGTGTTTATTTAAATATTTAATTATTTTGATATCTCCTGATTTTGAGTGTATACTTGATCAACCCACGTCTTTGAAATCAGGGGTATCACCCATACCTCCTATTTATATTATCAATCAACCTCCTCCAATGCCACCAATGACGACGACGACGACGACTACTACTACCTTCTTACCGGAAACTCCTCTGGCCAATTTCTCCAACGACACTGTTGACCCCCAACTACTACTCTAATTGGAAACATCCACATCACCTACTCTTTCTTTCTATTTCAAAGTAGGATATTTATCCATTATTAAATGATAGACTTATTTTATTTATAGATGACTAGATTATTGGATTATGGTTTAGGGGTCCTTGATTTAAGAGATTCCCGAGTTATAATTTTGGAGGATTATTAGTAAATGAATTATTATTTAAATGAATTTCCTTCAGCGTATTATTTATTCTTTTTATTTTATTTTATAATCTGTGCTTATTTAAATATTTAATTATTTTGATATGTCTTGATTTTGAGTGTATACTTGATCAACCCACGTCTTTGAAATCAGGGGTATCACCCATACCTCCTATTTATATTATCAATCAACCTCCTCCAATGCCACCCATGACGACGACGACTACTACCTTCTTACCGGAAACTCCTCTGGCCAATTTCTCCAACGACACTGTTGACCCCCAACTACTACTCTCATTGGAAACATCCACATCACCTACATCACTGACCAGTTTTGCCGATGATACCATTGACCCACAATTGTTAATTATGTTATTAATGCTTTGGTCGGAGTCCGAACTAGAAAAAGAAATCTCCAATACACTTCTTGGCGATGACTGGTCATCATTAGGGGTGGCAAAAGTTGACATGACCCACCAACACGACTCAAACACTACACGAGTTAAACGGGTTTGGGTTAACCTTAAACGGGTTCGGGGCATAAACGGGTCGACACGATTAACCCATATAATTAATCGTGTCGTGTTTGAGTTGAGGGGTTCAACCTGTGTTACCC